AGCAGAGACTAAAAAACAGAGTCCAGTTTGTGACAGCCTGTTTGGAAACAAGCCCATTGTCCCTGAGCTAAAGGGACTGGAAACTGGAGTGCACCCAGCTCCCACACACTGTCCTCCATACAACCCACAGCTCCCACCAGGCAGAGGCCAGCACAGCACAGCACTTGACTCTTGCCATGGTCTTCACCTCGGTGGAACACCTGCATTTGTATCTTTACCCTCAATTGTGTCTTTTTTTGTTTTTTCCTTCTAGACCCCTTTTCACTCTGGTAGTTGCCTCTGATTAATTGCCAGATCAATTAACGGATGTCTCTGATCGATCCTTGTTGGTCTCTGCAGGTGAGGCAGCAGCGGGCTGTCCCCCTTCTCCCCAGCAGCAACGCTTTCAGACCAGCTGTGTTTTCTTTTACTTTAAAACATTTTGCTACAAAGAAATTCTGTGAAAGGAATTTTTCTTCAAATCCCAATAAAGCCCACTAAAATCCAGGAGATGCCCTGAGGTGCTGCAGAACAATGTGATCGTGAGAAGGTCTCTCAGAACAGCATGTTCCCAGAGAATGTTTTTGGGCACACCATGGTTAGCACAAAAGACGTCCTTAACGTTTATTAAGTACTTTGCTGTTCTCATCAAATTTAGCTGCTCTGTGGTTAATCCCACCCCAGATGTGCTCTCTGATCAGGAGTGCCGCCTCTGAAGCGTTGGCACTGCCACTGTGAACCTTGAAATTCCTCAAACCAAGCAAAGCGACCTGCAGAGGTCAGGGAATCATGGAATGTCCTGAGCTGGAAGGGACCCACAAGGATCATCGAGTCCAGCTCCTGGCCCTGCACAGGACAGTCCCAAAATCCCACCATGTGCCTGAGAGCATTGTCCAAACGTTTCTTAAACTGTGGCAGCCTTGGGGCCGTGACCACTGCCCTGGGGAGCCTGTTAAGTGCCCAACCACCCTCCGGGGCAAGAAACTTTCCCTAATATCCAACCTAATCCCCCTGACACAGCTCCATGGCGTTCCCTTTGCGAGAGGCAGTGGCTGACTCAGCTCATGAGAACACTGCATGGGTTTCCTCTCCAGGCTTCCTGTTCTGCCTGGCTGCAGCACACTCCAGGGTTGCTGTCAGGGGTTTGTACAGCATTGTCGTTTTTAAACATAGCATTGTAGAGTTTTTTTCACTGAGACTTTTAAAATGAGTTTCTTAAAACACATCTCTGCAGTCATTTGTGTAGGCTTTTTGTGACGGTGCTCTCCCCCCACAGCAGTCAGGCTGCCTTCAAATCAGAACCACTTGAAGTTATTTTCTCCAGCTTTTTTTTTTTAATCACCAGACTCCCAAAGCTAATCTTACCAAGCATGTAGAGAAAGGCATTATGAAAACACACCAAGCTGCACTTCTTCCTTGTTCCGTAAGAGCAGCTCCCTGCATTCCAGCAACACTCACCCTTTAGCCGACCAGACCCCTGTGTTTAAGGAGCCAGAGCCCCGCTGAAGGGCTGCTCAGTTTGTAACTGCTGCGTGAATTTGGATGCCCCAAGAGACCAGAAATCCCACAGGATGGCAAACTGGTGGTTGCAGTTGTTTGGTGATCAGTTACTGGAACCAGGACAGGCGTGGGCAGAGCCTGGTGACACCTCTGCAGGAACACGACAGTAACTTAGCCATGGCACAGCACCAGCCCTCACCCACATGGGATTAGCTCAGCAGCGTTCAGAAGCTTCCGCCAGATCAGCAGATCTCTGTGATCCAAACTCGCTCCTTACAGGCCACACAGCCCTAAAAGCATCTCCCACTGCTTCTTAAAATAACACTTGGTGTTACTTGAGTTCAATCCCACTATCAGTGATCCCTTTGGGTCTCCCTGAAGTCAGTGATCAGCTCAGGTCACTACTCAGCTCCCACCACCATCCCCTTCCAAAGGCAACCACTCTTTAAAAAAGGGCACTTGTTTCCCTCAGCCTCTCCCCTTCCCACATCCCATGGCCAGCACAGCTGTGGTTAACAACTCACAACCTCCACCACAAATCCTTCAGTGGAAACTTCCCTTCAGCCAGGGCTTTACAGCACACAGGAACTGCTGTGGTATTTTAGCACAGTATTTCCAGCCGGGGCACCACTGGAATGAAGTTCATTCCAGATTTCCAGAGTCTGTGAAATTAGTTTAATTATTGTGCTTAATGTACTCAGGATGCCACACCACTTCCCAAGCCCAAGGGCTTGCAGGACCAGCAGTGACATCTCAGTCCCACCCTGTGTTGGAGCTTCAGGATCACCCTTCTGCTTGCTCCATTAATCCCAAAACAAGGGCAGAACCTGGCGGTTGCTGGGAAACCGAGAGCTGGGTTTCAAATCCTCCCAGCTTAGCAACAACTGCAGTTTCCTATTACATGTCCACCCTTACACAACACCCACAGCTGCGCAACATCTGCAGGTGGGCACCGAGCTGCAGCTGGTAGGGAACAATTATACAACACAGGAAAACCAAGGCTGAGGGATTAGCTACGCTTGCCAGACAAGTGGGAGCCTTGCCTAAGGCAGTTTTACTGTTCCTTTGTCCGCAGAAACTACGTAATTATTGTTTATTAAAGAGCTGGAGTTGGGAAATGGCACAAACAGTTGTTCACGTAACCTGAGACACAACTTTTTGTGGATGCAACAGCTTTATTGGAATGAACAAGTGCAGAGAAACTTTTTATTTGGATGCAACAACCTGTTGGTTCAGTTACCACCCCTCAGGCGCAGGACAAGGTGCAGGGTGGACTCCTTCTGGATGTTGTAGTCGGACAGGGTACGACCATCTTCCAGCTGCTTCCCAGCAAAGATCAGCCTCTGCTGGTCGGGAGGAATGCCCTCCTTGTCCTGGATCTTGGCCTTGACATTCTCAATGGTGTCACTGGGCTCGACCTCAAGGGTGATGGTCTTGCCAGTCAGGGTCTTCACAAAGATCTGCATCCCACCTCTGAGGCGCAGCACTAAGTGCAGAGTGGACTCCTTCTGGATGTTGTAGTCGGACAGGGTACGACCATCTTCCAGCTGCTTCCCAGCAAAGATCAGCCTCTGCTGATCTGGGGGAATGCCTTCCTTGTCCTGGATCTTTGCCTTGACATTCTCAATGGTGTCACTGGGCTCGACCTCAAGGGTGATGGTCTTGCCAGTCAGGGTCTTGACGAAGATCTGCATTTTTCCCTGGAAGAGACAAACGCGCTGTGCTTTAGTAACGCTCCCGCTCCCCGGCGCCGCGCTCCCCGGCGGTGACGTCACAGCAACGGCCCCACCCTTTCCGGGATGTGGGCGTGGTCCCCGCCCCTTCCCTTTCCCGCCCGCGGCGCGCACCCGCCACCATCTTGAGGGGCGGCTGCGCCTGCGCCGCCGCCATTTCGCTGGTGCCCGCTCGCCCTTGCCCCTCCCGCCCTTCCCTTCTCCGCCCCCGGCTCGCGGTGCTGCCGTTAAGGGGAGGACAACGCCCCGGCCCTCACAGCCCGCCATTGACCCCAGCCATCGCCCTTTCTTTCTCAGCGCGCACATACACTCTGTGTGTCCCGCCCAGACACCTAGCATGCATCTAAGCCCTGTTGCCGCCACGCCAAGCGGTTCCCCCCGCCGAGCACTCACCGCGGGGCTGGCAGGCCAAGCCGACAGAACAACTCCCTCCCAGACTCACCCGACTCCAACTGCGCCACACATCCCCCTCCCGCCCCTTATATGGTCTCGCGCGCCCCGCCCCCACGCCCGGATCACTCCGCCGCGCACTATTTTCTCGGCCCCGCGCGCCGCCGCCCTCCTGCGTGCGCTGGGGCGGGATGGGGCAGCGCGGAGAGATCTGTGCCCCGCGCGTGGGTGCGCTGCGTCCAGCGCGCGCGGGGAGGCGGGCGGGGCGCGAGCAGCGCCGGGAAAACCCGGCGTGGAGCCACCGCCGGAACGGGACTGCGGCCATGGCGCCTCAGCAAGCCCACCTCGGAGACATGCCCGTGTTTAAAGATTTATCTCAGAGCCTCACGTTTTATTCAGGGCTTTAGACATGAGGACACAACCCCGCTGGGACGGGCAGGTCGTGCCAGACCCTCAGTGCCACCATGGCCGGGGGAGAGGGGACGGGGAGGAGATGGTGCTGGGACACCTGCCGAGGCTGGACCACCTCAGGAAAAGGGGGCTACAGGAGGCTCCTGCCTGGGGTGGAGAGGTGACATGAGGGACAAAGAAGGCCCTGATGGATACAGAGTTCCAAGTCCTGCAGATGGTCTGCCTGAGATACAATGAGTGTTTATATACACACACATAAAGTAGACTGTCCATCTGAGCTATCGTGGAGTTCATAATTCAGGACTAAGGCCTTGCCACTGGGGTAAAATCAATCATAAACAAATCAGAATAATGCCTATTTCTTATTCTGTTCTTGCAGAGCACATTCTGGCAGATCTCTGCTGCACTCAGTTGGCTCCTGTGCCATCCCAGTCAAACTGCACAGCAATTCCAGGCCATGGCTGAGAACAAAACAGGGCTTTGTCTGCAAGATTCAGGAGACGCCATTCGGTCCAATCCGCCTACAAAATCCTTCGTTTGCCAGCACCCAAGGAAAATGGAAGGGACACAGATAACACCCAGGACTGCTCACCAGCAGGAACAGAGCAGAGGCCCAGCAACAGCTTTGTGATTGGTTTGAGGGAAACCGCCTGTGTCTGGCTGACACATGGAGCTGTTACAGGAGGGGAACGCTCTGGGGAGCTCCTCGGCCTCTGCTGCCTCATGTTTGTACCAACACTCACCACACAGCAGCAGTGATAATAATCTCAAACACTCGGGTCATTTAGACCCGAGGGGGAAAAAAAAATCCACAGAAGTCTTTTGGTTTCTTCTCGGTGCTCAGTGGCTGACACTGTGTGCATTGGGAGTTGAATACACATCAAAGATTGGAAAAGCCTTCCAGGTTTAGGTCTTTCCTCAGCTGAATATTAATGTTAAGCTTGTTCTTTTAGTTATAGAGGGAGCACTCAGGACTGGTCTGAAAATAGTAAAAAATGCACATGGAAAGGTATTTCCTGACAAGATGGAGTTTTGTAACAGGAAGAAATAAGATGACACAGTGCTGTTCTTCACCTAATTAGGGTAATCAGCCAAGCACTGAGCATCCTGAGTGAGTTTATACCTGATATCTGAATCAAACACAGGAGGAGCACACATTTAAAGGTTGAGATTGGCAAGGCAGATGTTCGGCCCTCATCCAATAGTCCTTAAACACATCTGTGTGGTTTGCAGGAGGACAGTGTTTCCTGAGCTGGGAGAGGATTTCTGTGAACAAAGCCCTCCCTTGTTTATCCTACCCTGCCTCTCTGAGTACCCATTTCTGAGTTAGGATTTCAGTGCAGGCTTGATGAATATGTTGATCTTAACAGACCATGACCTGCTTTACTGACAAATACCAACTTCCTGTGCCAAAAAGTTACTTTGTGCCTGTTAGAACAAACTATTTCTTATTTTTACATGCAGGGCATATTCCAGAAGTACAGCTGCCCAGGGAGATCCAGGGAGTGATTTACAACAGGGATATTCACACTTAGCAGTGCTGTAGCCAAATACTGGCTCAAAATAACAACTGGAAGTAAGATGAGTAAATAAATAGCACAAGGAGCTTTTCAGCCACTGTGGCAGGAAATA